TTTAGCTTCAGTCCATATAGGAGGCTGTAGTCCTTGATCTTCTGCAGCAAGCGTCTCAGGTCCTCCTCAGTTTCAGCAAGCAGGGTTGTGTCATCTGCATAACACAGGTTGTTGATGATTCTTCCACCAATCCTCATGCCACATTCCTCTTCGTATAGCCCAGAGTCTCAGATGATGGTGGTGGAGCAAGAAAGCATCGGTGGGCTGTAACATTGAATCTATTGGTCAGAAATGGTGAGGATGGGAAATAACAGGACAGGGTTCAGATCTGTTGCTCTTTGGGTCGCTATGAGTTGCACTCCACTTGACAGCACCTAACAACAAGAAGAAGGGTTTCTAGGGTTTCAGTCACCTTTAATATGAGGAACCATTGGCTATGGTACAGCATCTTGTTTGGAACAGATAGGACGTAGAGACCTACTATGCCTACAGCTGTTATTTCTTGATAATTTTAAATAATATTTGCTATTTTTCTGATTTTAAAAGGAATATAGATTACTTTGAATAATTTGAAAAACTTAAAATTGAAAATAAAATGTGTTTACTGTAACTGTTAATAATTTCTGCTAGCATTGGATTCCTCGTCCTTTCCTCATTCCCTTTTTCTGTACACAGTACAATGGTGCTCTGATGGTCTGATCCATGGGGAGTTAGTCCACTAACCCAGAGTTGGGGCCTCTCTGGCAATTGGAATCTACCACGTGGAAAAGATAGATGATCTCCTTCCATGCCAATTACAGTCTTTGAAACCCCCTGGAGGGTGAGCTAGGAGTTGGTTTTGATTCTTCAGCAATAACTAATGAGTAGGGGTAGGAGAAGGCACACTTAAGTGGTTTTAGAGAAGTGAGATTTAAAAATTTTTCCCAGGTCATTATGTTCCTTAAATATTATTGTTAGTGACAATGCTTGTCACATCATTCTGTATTGCTTTCACACATTGTTTCCCAGTTGTATAGACTCAATGCTTTAAAAGCCTAAAAAACCTGACGATGCTGTTCACCACTTGCAGGGCAAATAGAAAATGAAGGACTCACACCTGCAGTGCTTAAGTCTTCTCTCCACGTAGTGTAGTATTTAGACTCTGAGGTGGACATAATCACAAAAGCATGTCACAGTCAAGGAAGATTGGATATAGTAGACTAAAACTGCCAAGAGACGAAGTGGAAACAAACCGCTACTATTATCCCTCTGCTCACTCCTTCACCTTGTTAGCGTGTGAACTACTGAAGGACAAAAAGGAAGAACACAGCAAAAACCTCTCAACTCTCTAGCACTGGGTTGGTTCCAACTCATAGTGGCCCTCCATTGTATTTCCAAGTCTGTAATTCTCAGCAGAAGAACACAGCAGAGAAACTATAATATCAAACCCAAAGCCAAACTTTGTTGTCACATCGATTCCCACTCACAGTGACTCTAGGACAGACTAAACTGCCTCCCACATTTCTAAGGTTTCACATTTTTACAGAAGCTGATGATCACATCATATATTTTTCCTCTGGAGCAACTGGGAGGTTAGAAAGAATATCTGACCTTTTATTAGCAGATAAGTGCTTAACTACTACACCATTATAGTCCCTTAGTATACTGCCAGACCGTCTAAATACAGCAGATTATCCTTAATACATATCTACCATATGCTTAGCAATATCTACTATTACTGATTCTTTTTTAAAATTTTTGAATTGTTATTTTAAAAAAATTTATAAAAAGTTGGATTTGCATTCATTTATATGCTGATTCTTACTGTACAAAATCAAGACTACAGTCTACAATATGGGTTACATCTCAATATTAAGGGAAAAAGTCCTCACCACTGGATCAACAGACAACATCATAATGTTGTTTGTTGTTATGTGCTGTTGAGTCACCTGCTACTCATAGTGACCTATATATAATAGCCCTAAACCCTGCTCTATCCTGTGCCAATCTCACTGTCTCTAACATACCTACCTCCATTGCCTCAGTCACTGAATCAATCCCCTTCATAGAGGGTTTTCCTCTCCTGCACTGTCCCTCCACGCTCCCAAGCATGACATCCCTCTACAAGAACTGGTTCCTCCTTGCAACATGTCCAAAGTATGTCAGATGAAGCTTCAGAATCCTTGCCTCCAAGGAGCAGCCTGGTTTCACCCACTCCAGGTTGAACCTGTGTGTTCTTTTAGCAGTCCATGGTATATTCAACACCACAGCTCAAAGACATTAATTTTCTTTCTATCATCCCTAGCCATTGTCCATCTCTCTGATGTATAGCAAGTTATTGCAAAGACCCTGGGTTATATCAGGTTCACCTTAGTCTCCAAACTAACATTGTTACTCTTCAGTACTTTGGAGAGGTCTCTTAACAGCAGACTTTCCCAAAAGAAATATGTCTTTTAATTTCCTGGATGC